TTGGGCCGGCCATATTTGCTTGACATTCCGAGGGGGCGAGTCGGTCAGGGGGTGAGTCGGTCAGGGGGCGAGTCGGCCAGGAGGCGAGTTGGTAAGAGGCGAGTCAGTGGGCGAGTTGACCTGACACTGTCTGGGAACAATCAATTTTGACACAAAGTGGGATGGTAGGCCCTAACCAGATAACTTTCTTGTAAACTGTTGGTAGGCCTAAACATATATTTACAGTTTGGTATTGGTAGTTATGAGGCGGCACGGATATCCAGGACTCTCGCAAAATGGCGAGTAGTCGGTAGTAACCGATGAAAACCACAACCATGGCGACGCACATGTGCACCAGTCAGTCAGAGGATTGTATAACACAATCATTTCTTTGATTTCGTTGCAGTTATTTTCATCGGTTGCTACTCGCGAAATCCCCAGATATCCGCACCACCCCATAGAGTCATTTCACTTTCCACTGTACTTTGAGACATGCAGATATTTCATTGAACATCTCAAAATATATTTATGAATCATGAAGGCCAAAAGTGATATCCCCGTAAAGGCAAAAAACTGTATTGCAAAATGTGTACCGATGGTTTGGGAGACTTGAAAACCTTATGATAAAGTTATTGGTCAGGTTCTAAGTTTGAAAAATCTGCGGATAATCAGCAGATGCATTAATAAAGTTTGTTATTTATTCCCTTCAAAAGGGGACTACTATTTTTTCTTTTGCTCCCCTTTCTTAATCATGATCTAGAGTTCCGAAGTGTGACGTCACTGTGAACTAGAAAGTGCACGGCAAACAAATAGAGTACACCTGTATGTTGGTTCACACACTGGCTCTAGCACTAATGCCTTCTAATTGACAGTCCTTCAGTAGAAACTCACCACATAGGCAAGCAAGTTTATGAGCATTGAATGGGGAGCATTCTGAGTGCACACTACAGATTTAGTCTGAAATGTCTGGGCATTTGGAAAACTCTGTACCAGTCTGTTTTTCTTTCAACAGTGAGGGTGCTCTTCAACTCAGGACTGACAGGCTTTTAAAATAAAGTTAGTTGAAGGATGTCATAGTGATAATATTCATGACAGAAGGGGTGCATTGTTTTTTTGTAGGAGGAGATCGAAGCAAGAGAAGATCACGGCGTATGGAGTGGCTGACGTGGGCAGCATCGCTGGAGAGAGCAGAACCAGAGTATGTTCTTCTTTAGCATGAGGTTATACAACGACTAGCTCAATTGACAGACTCAACTTTATCCCAAGTTTACTCATTTCTCCCCTACTTTCAATTTGCTCCTTTATCATACTTTTTCAGTAGAAAATTTCTTAGATCATTCAAAATCCAACAGATTTGTGGAATATGTAGTAGGAATGAGGAAGGTAGAGTCCGTCCCAGCCACTTTGATGGTATCTGAGAGAATGTACCATTTTTGTTGGGGGGGGAGGTTGGTGAGCAATCAGGAAGCTTCTAAGTTGTTGTTGTGTCTTGTTACATGAGTAAACTTTGATCATGATTTTGTCTTGATCCTCAGCTCTGACGAATGCACCAACACAGATAGAGATGACTTTAGACTTTAACAGTGGCACCAGCAGTGAAGGTAGATATCATGCTCAAGAGACTGTAAAATGGGTTTAGATTTTAAAAGAAGTTCAACAGTTACATATTAAACCTGCCTTCTGACTTTCCAGTATCCAACAACTTGGACAATTCAGTGTGATTGCCCTTACTCGTGGGAAATTTCTTTATTTCAGAGGAGAAAAGGAGACTAAATAAGTAAAAAACAAGCAAAGCTCAGAAAAGAGAGGAAAAGATGGAAGAAATGAGGGAACTGGAAATGTATCCTTCTTTTGTTTCGAATTTAATTTCTGTAGTTGAAGTGATCTGTAAGGCTGACTCTGACAGTAATCAGGAACAGATAAAGTTGATGGAGAAAATAAGAGCTGTCACTTGTCAAGAATTTTATTATCAGTTTGAAAATCAGTTTTGCTCATACCGTTGGTCATGGCATTTTCTATCATCATAGATTATATGAAGTGCTTACAGAAGAGCCAACTTCCAAAAATCCCAACTCACCCAAGCAAATGTAGTTGTGATGACAAACTCTCTCAGTTACTCTGGTTATGTGGCAATCCAAATATTACAGGGACAGATAAATGTATCCACTGCTCAGTCCAATTTCCCTAACATGAGGAATTCTTTCCATAACATGGAGGCCTCCCTACCATATTTTCAATGAGCAAAGCATTACTTTATGTCAGATTCATCTAAATGACTGGCTGTTTGGAATGAAATAAGGTGTAAAAATGAGGACCATAAAGGAATCCTGTAAGTTTTTTTCAGAAATGTCTCAGGTTTCTGCTGCAGGTAATTCTTCTGTGTTAAATTTCATCCTCAGATCTACAGCACCTAGGAGAAGTGCGCCCTCACATCCTTCAGTGAGGAGAGGAAAGGGTGCGTGAAATCTTACCGGACCTCTGAGAGATGATTCACAACAAAGTCAAGGAAAGGAAGTAATCCTCTATCACTGAGAAGGGTCAGATTCCAAGGTGGTATGAGGGATTGTCACCAAAAACTTAAGCAGTGATTCACAAAGGCAAGGAATAGAGTTAATCTGATTAGATGCAGTTACTTGCTTCAGCCTTAGTAATTGAGCAAGTCTGTGCATTTGTATTTTGGCATACTAGGGGCGGTTCTTTAGCCAGGTTTGGAGGGGAGCTAAACCCTTGGCACATGACATCACCTTTTAATTTTCGCTGCTGCTCTTTGGGGGGGGGGCAGGCTTCCCCATAGAACCACACCTGTACACTTCCATCAACATTATTCATATTAGGTAAATTAAATATAACTTTTTTAGTTTACTTTTCAACAAAGACCACTGCTTCTCTTAAATTTGAATTCCATACACTTTCTTCCTGATACCTTTATTGTCCTATCAAAGCATAGTTCTTGCATCTCAGTTACCATTTAATGCCACGATGTTTGACTTCAGAAACTGTTTTGATAAATTTGCACGATAGAAATGCCAATTCTCGAGACCATAAATGATAAGACTCCCACAAACATTTCTAATAGACCTCTGACTGAGAACGCCACACTTTGCTCTGTGGACATGGGCTCCCACTGGCTCCATAGGAAAGTGCACATATAAATAAAGTGTGACATCATCAGTACATAGGTCCATTACAAGGGGCCAACAAAACATGCCAAAGCTACAAAAACTGTCACTGTGAGAGACAATATTTTAGGCCCTATAAATTGATCACAAACCCTAGCTTTACTGTGGTACTAGTTGTAAGTTAGTTGTGAGTTTATTCCTTTCTACTTGACTGCATAATGATTACTTAAACGTTGGTGATGTAAAGTTTTGTACATGTGTAAACTATTGTAAATTTGGTTAGGGCTCCCTGTATATTGCATGTTCTGACAAACTGAATGGTGTATTGTTCATTTTACATCTCCAATTCTCACTGAAAGCATCCAGGATACCAGTCCTGTACTTGAAAGCATCCAGGATACCAGTTCTGTACTTGAAAGCATCCAGGATACCAGTCCAGTACACCCAGTGGCCATTCCAAACCTCACTTTAACCAGTTTTTACCTCATCCCTTGGACAGAGGTCTAAGTTCCTTTGTTTTCAGTTGCATTGGAAAAAGTCTTTTACTTTAAAATTATCACGAAATCTTGAAATCAGACATTTGTGTTTGATAAGAGTGGCTTGCTCAATTCCTGTACATATTGGTAACAGTCTCTGTGTAATAATAATGCAGCCATTTGGATTACAATTGAAATAAACATTTATTAAATATCAATCAAAAGAACTTTGATGTAAATTCTATTTGTGAAACTGTAGTACATTGAATTGATGCACTTAGCACTTCCCTAATCTCAACCTGTTTAGACCGCCCGATTTGAATTTGTTTCCCAATTCTTCAAATTTTGCATGTCTGACCTGTCCCAAGCTGTGCCACTTTCAATCATTCAAAATCCTCAACTTCACTCCAGTCTCATCTCTCATCCTTCTGAAATCAACCCATCATAAATCTGAAAGATAAGAAGCTTTGCCGTTCAATTCCAAGGGACCCTCAAAGCCCTGTCTTCTGCTGATAGTCTTAAGCCCTCAACCATCCTTTCATTACCCTTCTTGTCAGCTCTCCGACTTCTAGTCTCAGATGTGACTACAAGGGGTACCCTCAGCCATCTCCAGTACAGACTCGGACTGAAAAAGTTTCTNGGGTTCAATCCCAGGTGGGCATGCACAATTTTGTTAAAAAACTTAGTTAAAAAAAAAAAAAAAAAAAAAAAACTTCCTTTTCCAGGGACCCCGGCTGGAATTGAACCGGGGTCCCCTGGCCTGGCAGTCAGCAAGCTAGACCACCAGGCCACAGGCCTCTTGATAAATTTGTGCTCGGAACTTATATTTAAAGCTTAGATTGTGCAATTTCAAAAAGTCAAAGGGCACAATAAATATGCACGTATTTAAATTAAGGCAGAAAATTCAAATATGCAAATCACCAGAAAATTAACAAAAAGGACTGCACAAAGAAATTGATTGCTTAAATAAATATTTTAAAGGTCTAACGTATTTCGGTTATAAATTGTCGAGTCAAACAGAGGGAAACTCCCAAGAAATTCCGAACCAAAGGTAACATTTATTTTTTTTCTAAAAATAATCATCAAAAATTGTTTTAGGAAAATGAAGCCTATGGGTATAACACTTTTAGCACTGCATACTCAGTTAAATTTAACATTAAATCCTGTTTACATGTATGCAAACCTTTTTATACTAAATTCTTCCAAATACATGTATTCATTATTTTATCATGAAACTGCCACAAAAATTAATTCTACTAGTAAAAAATACATAAGTTGAAGATACTTCAGGAATCCAATTTTCATGTCCTCTTTTTCAATCAGAGACATGTCTGAGGAAGTTTGTTACAGACCAGACACTTGTTCTAGTTCTCACCTTACATTATTACAATAACTGCTTATTTGGAACAGAAAATTCAGTCACTTTGAAGACCAAAGTTAAGCACAAGATTTTAAAGTTCTAGAAAAAATGGGGAGCAGTAAACAAGACAAGCTTTAATTAAATTTTGTCCACTTTCCTTGAGGATTAAAAAAGTACAATTCGATATATTCCTGCTCACACTGCTGAATTGAAGGGAAGTCAGTGTGATATATTTATGTAATATTTAACAATATGACACAGATAGTTTGGAATTACAACTCCAATACAGACAATTCACAATAGTGCACCTCCAAGAGTTTGCAATGCGTTGATCAACCACGACAAGTGATATCTGTCGATCCTCTTCATACGCACACTGGGTCAACAGATTTCGTGAATCGTGATTGGCTTATGCATTGCAAACTGTTGGAGGCGCACTATTAAATATTTGGTGTACAGCAATACATGTAGTCTATCTAATGCACAGAATGCAACGCAACGATCATGGCACTTTTTCGCTCAGTTATGACATTTGGAAACCGCAACTTAAAAATAAGCTAATTTCTTTTTCTTCAAACCAAAATCATAATTTGTGTCATCTGTCAATACAAACATCTATTCCCTGCTCCATACAAATAGCCGAAGATCTCATTAGTAAACCTTTGATTGCAAATCTAGTTTTGTAGCACCTTGTTTGTACTGGCCATTGCGAAAGGAACAGTCTCCAAATAGTTGACATGAACCATTTCTTTTGCCTACATGGAAGAGAAAAATAACAAACAGTGGCTTCCGGACATTAAATTACGTAAAATTATTCATTTTGCAAAACTGAACCACATCAATTTGGATTGGCTCGGTCAAGACAAGTGATTTTGTGGGAAAGGTCTTGAAGAAGATTACATAACAACCACTTTGGCTCAAAGTTTGTATTCAGGAACCTTCTCCTTCTTACACTTGGCTAGGAACTGAATGCAAAACATTTCATTGACACATAGGAAAAAATCACAAATTACTTGTCATGCAAATGTAATATCAAAGGGAAAAAGTTCCAAATCCAGATATCATTTGACAACCTGCCTGTGACAAGTCCAATGAGACTGGTCTGAAAAGTTGAAAGTGTTTTACTAAGTAAATGCTTCACTGTAACAGGGTGACTGAATATTTTCCCTGTTAAATTTAAGATTTTAGAAAATACTATCACTTTCAGAGTTTCTGGTCACTAGTACACCTCTTCCAGGGAAAATTAGTGCTGTCCCAACATGGAACTCTAACCCATGTAAGGGTTTATCAATTTAAGCATGAATGGTATAGGTGCTCTATATTTAGTTCACGTTGATTTATATCGCGAGAAAGGACCACGCCAGACTGGTGTGAAAGATGATCTCTGGAATAGACAGTTCTTGACATATCTAAAAGGGCTGGCATTTGCCTCTAACCCAAATTTAACGCAAATGCATACAAAATCCAACGCCTATTCTCTAATTTCTCGCACCTGTTGGATTAGTATGGTTGGAGACTCTCCCGTCAACAGGGTTGTAACTGCAGTAGGCTACCTCACTGGTGCTAGCAGCAAAATGCACAATTCTACTAGGTACTTCGAAAGGGTAGAGGTTCCTGCCAAATCAGGCAAGAAATCAACCTGAAAAACAGACCAGAGAGACTTTGAATGGTAAATGCAGAAAGGTAAGATTACAAAATAAATCACTTACTTGTACTTGTAGCTAGGGCCTAATTGTTTTTGCGCTGCATATAAATCTCCAATTAGGAGTCAACAGGTGGCGCTGTTCAAAATTAATGGACCCTCTCTTTGACGTGCTGATTTCAACAGAGGGCGCTTTTCATTTTAGTGGATGATTCAGCAGGGGGCGCTATTTAAAATTACCGGCGAGCAAAGTTCGGATGCAAGGGGACGCTGACTGCGTAAAACTGCTAAATTACAATGCCATTAAGATCCCACGAGTTATTTGCTAAAGGAAGGAAAAAAACATCGTTGAGATATTTCTGTAAATCTCGAATTTGCGACTTGGATCGATCATAAACATAGTAACTTAACCTCGTGCTTGTGGTCCTAGTGCGAATAGAGGTGGGCGGCGCTTAAGACCTCCATGCACACCTTGCTTGATGTATTTTGGGGATGGGGGGATACCAAAAGTGTGTGGTTCACCCTTCTGAAATTGAAAACTAAACTGATCTGTGAAACACACATTACGCAAACGATTCTAATTACCACACTGTGTGATAAACCACTCAATTTACATTTTAAAAAATCTTACGTTACAGCCTCCCCACCTGACCCCAAATTCTACCAAAAAATTGAACAGTCCAATGTGACAATCCTTGTACATCAACCACCACTCCTGAGTTCATGTAATAAATACCCTTTATTCCACCAAAATTGAAAACCAGGTTTTCTGCCAGACTACCAACAGTGTGTACTTCTCGTTGATTTTCCACAGTTGTTTTATTTCAGCTCTCTTTAAAGGAGCTCAAAAGGGCATCAGTAAAAACAGCATTTACATTTTATAGCTGTAATATAAAAGGGAGTTTCTTTGTGATTGAAGACAGCATAATTTTGAACAGTTATACAATACACCCCATAAGTATGAATAATTTAAATTCAAATCCCACTGAATCAGTTGCCAAAGAAGCCGACACAAATTTAACGAGTCATCTGAAATTATATAAAACAGTAGAGCCAAAAGGACATCAGGATATGAGAAAACCAAGCCGATCTGTACTAAGCTATTTACAAAACCCACAAGAGTTGCAGGGAAACCCTGGAGTTTACCATGAGGTTGAATGCAGGGAATTGATGCCTGAAGTTCTGTTTTCTTCTAACAAATCTTCAGACCAATTTGCAGTGCAAGTTCTTTGGTCTTGAAGGGCAAGCAATAAGCTATTTGCGAGTTAAATTTGAATAAAATCTGGAACACTGAGTTATCTGATTGCACATAAACATAACAATTTGAATTCCCCAGAATAAAGACACTGCTGCTATACCTCATGATTCAGGGCAAGCTTTTGCTAAGCGACCACCATCTCTGGAATGGACTGGTTCCTTTGTGCCCTTCTTATCCATTGAGAACAGTGTATTGTTGCAAGGCGTCTCTCATATAACTGAGGAAAAGCATGCCCAAAATCACGAGGCATAGCAAAGTGACTTTAGTACGGAGAATTCCAATTGTTATGTTCACATGAATTTAAAAAACTCAGTGTACCAGATTTTATTCATATTTGACTCACAAAAGGCTTATTTCTCCTTCACAAAGGACACTTGTGGGAACACTTGTGGGAACACTTCAGCAGGTTCAAGGTAAAGACCAGGAGCATCAAGGAAATTGCCCAGGTAACGTTCTTGCCCTGAACATCAAGTTAACTATTCTAGTTAAAATAAGCATAACAGAGCCAATGGCTGTGAAATGTCCCACAATAATATCCACTGTTGTCATGACACTGACTTATCAGCATCCAGGATTGCAGTTAGCTTAGAGTTGTTACTTTAAATCTTTACCCTTCAATCCGTGACTTACACATTGCTCCCAGTATAGCCTTTTTGCTTCCTTTAGAAACATCCAGACGTCGCATTCTGGCTTCTCAACTATTTAAGACTTTCACTCGTGTGACAGACTGACCACATATTTTTGTTCACTTACTGAAAATAATACTACACAGACATTGCGTTGAGCAGAGGCCTTCATCATAACTCAGTATGGTCATCTGCAATGTCAAAATATGAAAAAAAATCTCTCTGCATTCATTTTTAAAGTTTGACTGGGACTTGGTTTAAAAAGATCTAAATAGTTTTCAAAGATTTATATCTTTGGCTGTATAATGTTTGGGATTATTCTCTAAAGAATCTAAAATGATAAGGATCTTTTTAACAGAAAAGATGTCAATGATTATTAAACATGAAGCAGAAAGTATCAAACCCCAAAAACCCTATTTTTCGTTTGCATTCACTAAACATTGTTTTCCTCAATTTGTTTTCCCCAATTATCTCATTAAGAATAAATATCTCTTGCGGAAAGAATTTCCCATTCCAAAAGGCGCTGCATCTTTCCCTCCACAGTTCTAACCAGAATTTATCAACAATTGAATTGCAAAATGTCCTTACCTGCTGGATTAGCCTGAGTCTTGTCTCCTCCAACACTTTGAGTGGTTAAACCCTGCGCGACTCTTTCCTGCAATGCTTTGATCTCATTGTCATAACCTGTCCATTCTGGCACGATGCGTACTGCACTCTCCAGCTTAGGTTCTTTAGTAAGAGGGTTGTTACACTGTCCAAATTGAAGGTAGGATTGAAAGACGGGAAAGTCTTGTTAGCCAAATGCAAACTACGACTGTCATACAATTTGAATTCTGAGGACAATGAATCAAAAGAAAAAAGTTCCATGTACATATTGAACTTAATTCTCTTCAAAGAATAATGATTTTTACATGATTTCCATCAAAATTGCCAACTGGCCTATCCGTCCAACATCTCAACTGACAACTCAAAGAGAATGTTTCATCACTGTGTTTTCATTTACTGGAACAAGCTCAATACGGCCACGGCCAGTCAACTGAATGCAAGAAGAGATTCCACCCACTGTCCCCCCCCCACCATTCTGGACTCCTCCCCCTTACCAAGTCAATAGTTTTAGCGGCTGGCTTCTCTGCATCGCTACACCACGTCTCACACCATAACCATTCCTGAGGCAGGGAGTGGATAGCAACCTGGTGGATCATGTTGTTCGGAAGGTCCTGAAAATAAGACAGGATTGTAATCACTGTCAAAGAGATTCCTCTGTACCAATGACACAATGAAATAAAAGAAATACTTGATTAACAGGCTTGATCTCAGACTA